CTGACATGTCGACTGCGCTCACGGACATGGCCCCCATTAAGACTCTGTGCGAAGTAAGAAATAAGTCATGTCCATGGCACACAAGCACACACAGCAAATTAGTGAAAGGTATGTCGGCGTCGTCAGCAGGGTGCTATTTTGTGGTAACCATCCTTAGCAGCAGCCTATCTGTAGTTCAGCTTGGAGCAATACGCAATTTATTATTATAATAGTCACTACTACATATGTTTTGGATGTAAGCCACCGTGATGTATGCGGCCTTTGGAGCAACCCCAAGCCTCTTGAGAGGGACGGCTCTAAGGGAGCTCCTTTAGAGCCGTGCACGTATACTACTTGTATCTGGATGCGGATTTTTTTTGTATGCATAATTGCGCAAGGATGCATCCGCTTACATGAGTAGCATTGACGAGGTCATGAGAGCCTCGGGCGGCTGCCAAGGAGGGCGCTCCATCCGAGATGACATTGCCGATTTATAAAGCGTGATTCATCTCATAAATCTATATATTTTCTATCTAAATATACGTATGAAACATGGTCATGTTCTCCATACCCGCATAAAAAACCTTATTATTTTACCGTATCCGAGTGTAACACAGCAAAGGTTGCTGAGATGGGCCTTGCGTCGGTACATCGGGCAAGCGCCGCTATGTGGACGAGTCTGATGTTGTAAAAAAGAATGATCCCCTTCCCTAAGTTGTTTGTCGCCAGCCGAAGCATTTTTGGCGGCAGTTGTTAGATTGATCCACGCTTGCACGTATTCGTAAAGATGCCCTTCGCAGGCTTGGCGCACCAACCCCATTATGAGCCGTCTTCCATCAGCCAGCTAGCGTCCCCTAGTTAGGGCAAGTTACCTGGCGTTCCACCCCACCAATTGTTGGCCAACTGTCGCAAGCTTCCATGGTAGCTCGCTCAGTTATGCCTACTGCCATCGTACGGCATATTTTATGGCTTGTTTGCTTTGCTTATCGTGATATAAGAATCTGATATAAAAGTACACAAGAACACATGAGCGTTTTTTAAACCTGGTCGGAACGTCTGCTGGAGAGTGGCGCAATTCTTGCTAACGGGCTATTATCCTGAACTGTTAAGTAAGATAAATAGATATTGCTAGTTATAGAGATTTCTATAGATGTCGCGAGCTAACCACCTGAGGTCTCATGCGGTAATAAGTTCACCGAAACAAACTGAGGAAAGCATTGACGTTATAACATTTTAATTATTTTTTTATGATATTTAAAACTTTCTTACGATTTACTATGCAGAATTGAGCTCGCGCGACCCTGAATACGGACGAACTGCAGGCGGGCGGCGGGCGGCCCTAAGGCACTGATTGGGTCAGTAACCCATGGGTTACCCACCTTCAACCCCCGGTAGCCCTTTGGTAATCCCCTTGTAAATTCCTACCCAGCAGGAGGGGTAACGCGGCCCCAGGGTAAACCCCTCCGTCTGCCTCCGTTGCCCTGGACTATGGACATACGTATGGGCCTATAGGCTGCTCGTCTTATATGCTTCCCACATCATAAATTCCGCTTAAGGATGCTTTTTAAAAATGTAAACGTTAGCAACCTACAGTATCGTGGAATCTTGGAAAGCATCGTTCGCTATTTCAACCTTAAGGTCTCTAATGCTGGCATCACACACGCAAGGAATAAGCAATAAATACCTATCTCTTGGCCTGTTTGGCTGCGGTAAAACGAGAGCTTGTAGATGAGTACAGGAGAAGGCGCGAATGCTGGCAGCACACACGCAAGTCGACGACAGGTCTTCACTAAATGGATGCTTTTGGTTGTCATCCATTGTTATATAATAGTTCTCGTTGTGAAAACATCAGGCAATCAGTCCTGAGGTCAGCCGACATATTACCGGCCGGGGGTGGTCGTACACATATGTGCATGCTGCTTGATACTCCTAACAAGCACCTTCACTTAGCAAGACATCCAGTGACATCCGAGGATTTTACCTGGAAGGACGCCTCACACTTCGCCGGGTGTGACCGTGTTCGGGGTCAAACATCAAAATTTCAAAGACCAGCCGCAAATGCTCCAGGTGCTCTTCACGTGTCCTTGAATAGACCAGGATATCGTCTAGGTAGCAAACGACAAAACGATCTATGTAGGGCCGAAAGGTTTGGTCCATCAGGGCTTGGAACATGGCAGGAGCTTTCGTCAAGCCGAAGCTCAGCACAGTATACTCGTAATGACCAGAGGGTGTACGAAATGCAGTTTTCGGAATATCTGATTCAGCAATACGGATTTGATTGTACCCCTGCTGTAGGTCAATAGAGCTAAAGAAAGCCGAGCCACGCAGTCTATCCAGTAGATCATCGACCCCTGGGATAGGATAGCGATTTTTAACGGTGGTCACATTTAGACCCCTATAGTCTATGCACATACGCAGAGTCCCGTCCTTTTTACCCACAAATAAAATGGGAGCAGAGTACGGGGATGTGCTGGGTCGAATCATACCTTTCCTCAGTAGGTCGGCTACCTGGTGTGTCACCTCATCCAGCTCCAGGGGGCTGAGGCGATACATGGGGCGCGAAACAGGCTGCACACCAGGAGCCAAAGGTATGGTATGATCTACCGGTCTCATCGGGGGAAGTCCAGGGACCTCACGGAAGATATCTGAGTATTCGTTAAGAAGGGCTTCAACCGCAGGGTCATTTTCAGTGATCGCCGTACTAGCAATCCATGCGCCCCCTTGCGAATCATACGGATAGCTGCTTTGCGCCCAACGGGTTTAGGCTCAATTCGCTTACAGATAGCGGCAGCAGCAAAATTCACACAGGGTTCGGAGTGTGCAGCACTAGTATTCCCTTCTCCCATCCGTTCCGCAGTGGTGAAAGGCGCCTTATAACACAAGGTTCCCTTCCGCAACTGCAAGGTTTGGGTCTCATAATCAGATGAGCCCCATACTGATCAAGGGTAGCGGACCCTAAGATAAACATGGCTGCATCAGTAAACTTAGGCAGCATATATGGACAGACATTTAAGCGCAAAGGGCCCAAGGATATACGAAGGGAAACTTGACCCAAAATGACCTGCTTACCCCCGTCAGCAAGGGTGACAGATGACCACGATGCCGGTTGAGGTTTCAGTCCGAGTTGCTCAACTATGGACGCAGAAATGAAGTCGTCGCTGGCACCAGAGTCGGCCATGGCAGTTAAAGAATATCCAGCGACACGAATGCCAATTAACGGGACTCTGGGCCCTGTTGACGCAGCAACTTTTGCACACAGGACTGAAACATAGGGCTCCGTGTCAAGGTGCCCCAGGACAAGAGGGGGATCGTACCAAACGTCAGCAGTATACGGCAGACCTGGAAGGGAAACAAGTTGACCCGTCATGTCTACACCGTTGAAGAGCTTGCTACCAGCACGAAACTGAAGAACCCGACACATCCCTATCAGCAAGGAGGCAGCCCTCAGGGATACATGTGCTGGTAACAGGAGACAGGCCGCAGTGTCCGGTCGTTGACGTTTGCAAATACGATAATGCGCAAGCTGAGACTGAAGTTCTTTGAAAGAGGAGGGGGAAATCCAACCGGTATGCCCACCCAAGTTACTAGAGTTTAGACGCCGTGGAATAGCAAACAGATTACAGTGCTCGTCTGCAAGTATGGACTTCCTCGATGAAACGGTAGCCGCGTACCATAGTCGTTTCGAGGCACTTATAGCACCAATTCCTGACTTAAGGGAGGTTGACCGGATTTTCTGGTTTATCCACGGCCTTTCTGCTGAGTTTTCAGGAGAATGTGCGACCGACCATGACGGTAAACCTTTTCAGGAATATACAAAACTTGTGCAGCACACGCTTGGTGTTGAGGCCCGTCAACTTACTAAACTCCGTTCTCAAGCCCAAACCCGCATGCTTCTGCGTGCTTCCACCGCTGTGCAGGATCCCGCGCCCATCATCACTGACGACGGGGACCTCCCGGCACCGGAGGTCAGGCCTCGAGCTGCTACTGCTGCCGCTGGACAGAATACAGCTCGCCAGGCCTCCGGTGCTGGTGAGTCGAACCGTGGGTGCAGGGGTCGGGGTGGCAAGCATAGGGACAAGGGTCGGCCCAGGGCCGCTGCCGTGGGAACAGGGATGACGGTGCTAGGCAAGCGTGGCCGGGATTCGAATCTGGCAGAGTGGATGACTAAGTTTTACTGCACTCGGGCGGAGTACGATTACCGCCAGAAAAATAGCCGTTGCCTCCGCTGTGGGGAGGACAAGCACCTAGTAGCAGAGTGCCCGTTGCTTGCAGAGAAGAAAGCTAGGAACGGGGACAAATAGGGGGTTGCCCAGGACAGTGTCAGGGAAGCACTCCCTGGGTCACAAAACCGAACGGTGCCCGTAATCTGCCCGGCTGGACATACTGTATTGAACCTAGTTGAGAAGGCCGTATTGAACCAAGTTGAGAAGGCCGTTGACAGTGTTTTTCATTTGATGCTCGTACTGCTCGTCCTGGTTTTGATGAGCACTGTAATCTGTTTGCTATTCCACGGCATCTAACGAAAAACGCCGTCCAACGGCCTTCTAAACTTGGTTCAATACGGCCGGTAAAACAGCATGGACAGCACGTCCAGCCGGGCAGATTACGGGCTCCGTTCGGTTTTGTGACCCAGGGAGTGCTTCCCTGACACTGTCCTGGGCAACCCCCTATTTGTCCCCGTTTCTAGCTTTCTTCTCTGCAAGCAACGGGCACTCCGCTACTAGGTGCTTGTCCTCCCCACAGCTGAGGCAACGGCTATCTTTCTGGCGGTAATCGTACTCCACCCGAGTGCAGTAAAACTTAGTCATCCACTCTGCCAGATTCGAATCCCGGCCATGCTTGCCTAGCACCGTCATCCCTGTTCCCACGGCAGCAGCCCTGGGCCGACCCTTGTCCCTATGCTTGCCACCCGGACCCCTGCACCCACGGTTCGACTCACCAGCACCGGAGGCCTGGTGAGCTGTATTCTGCCCAGCGCTGACCTCCGGTGCCGGGAGGTCCCCGTCGTCAGTGATGATGGGTGCAGGATCCTGCACAGCGGTGGAAGCATGCAGAAGCATGCGGGTTTGGGTTTGAGAACGGAGTTTAGCAAGTTGACGGGCCTCAACACCAAGTGTGTGCTGCACAAGTTTTGCATATTCCTGAAAAGGCTTACCGTCACGGTCGGTCGCACATTCTCCTGAAAACTCAGCGGAAAGGCCGCGGATAAACCAGAAAATCCGGTCAACCTCCCTTCAAGTCAGGAATTGGTGCTATAAGTGCCTTGAAACGACTATGGTACGCGGCTACCGTTTCGTTTGCTCGCATCTGATGCTGCCCTGCCGCAAGTTTTTCTAGCGCTTCTAGTTCGCGCGTTTGAATCTGCAGGGCAAGACGAATTAATAGCGCCTCCAAAAGTTGCTCTGAAGTATATTGCAATCGCGCATTAGTCCAGTCATCGTGCCACGTTTTCCAAATATTTCCGGACATCGCGGACGAAGGCGCGGACACGTGGCGCAACTTCCCGCGATAAGTCAAAGCTTAATATCTGCAGGGATACTAAGCCTAGGTACCGGAATATTAATTCTAATCACCTCATCACTAACCCCAGCGGGCAAGCCGCGCTCGGTAGCGTCGTTGTTCCTTACATCGCCGGCGGTACCCGCGATGTGTTCCACTGCAGGAATCGGAACAGCGGTTGACGGATTATTCATATTTTTCAATTGGTTATTGTTATTCAGGGCAATAGGCGGCGGCGGGACAGTTCCATTGGTCATATCGATAGCGGAGGGCAATCCCCAACGTCTTCGCCTAGACTGCTCCATTTCCAACTATCCTGACCCAGATCAGGCAGACCGCGTACCCAAGTAAAGAGAACTGTCGATTTTTCTGAAAGTCTGTTCTAGCACCGAACGGGTGCTACGAAGCTCTTGACAGAGCCTCCGGCAAAGGGTAGGGACCGCTCAAGGAACCGGCGGTTCGAACCTGCAGCAGCTTTACTGCTAGTAACCCAAAATCCTAGAAAAAGTCAGCAAACGGATTTGCTAAAGTAGTTTACAGACCGGCGGCTGCCACTTCGCGGACGGCCTCTCCGAGAGCGTCGACTATTGTAGCCAGAGGTCCAGTGACGTCGTCGACCTCCATCCACGCGCCGGTAGAAATGGGGATCTTGATGGCAAAACGTAGGATCTTGAAAATTCCAGGAATGAGAGAGGCCCCGGGAGGAACCGTCTCGATACCAGACTTGTTATATCTTACTAAACTAAACCACAACTGGATGGTGGCATCGGAAGACACTGATTGGAAGAGTTTTGTCTGCTTAAATAGCGGAGGATGTGGCCATCCCATGAATCGTACAGCCAGTTCCGAAAAGGCGCGGTCCAGTCCCGGAATGGCGTACCGTTGATCCATGCTTCCAATCGATGACGGGGCTCCACGAGCCAGGGACCAGCGTACGGCAAGGTGGATGGGGGGTACGAGGAGGGGAGCGGGCGGGAGCTGCACCGATTGTTCCGAGCAGCGCCACGCCGTGTCTGTCCTCGAGCTGCACCAGCGCCTGCGTCCCCAATCGTTCGTTGTCATGTATGTGTGGGTATGTGTGTATGTATGTGTGGGTTCTACCAGGGGAGGAAGGTGATAATGGCGCACACTAGGTAGCGGTTGTACGGCATCGTGGGCGGCACAAAATACAGTTTACGCGCACAGATGCCGCGTACACGTGATTTCTCCCCCAGCACCACCTTGTGCTCCGGTCTTCCTGGGCCTTATGTTCGCTCCCTACCTGCGCCACTCGGGCAACTTGATTGCCAAGCTCGGTGACGGAGGACCCCAGGTCCCACGGGTCGTCCGCACGGAGCGCCGCCGCCACGCCACCGCCTGCCGTACAGGCCGCCATCGCCGCCAGCAACCCTGCATCGGCAGCTTCGTCGCATGGAGACGGGGGGTAGGGATTTACACGCCGAAGCCGCGGCGGCCACAGCGACCGCGGCGGGCGAGGAGGCCGCGACGGCGGCGCAGGGGGGCGGCGGCTGGCGGCTGGCGGCTGGCGGCAAAACGGCGGCGACGGATATGGCGGTGGTACGGCTCCGGCCTCCCCAGCAGTGGCTGTGACGAATCGGTCCGGCGGGGTCGCCGCGGACAGCTTGGGCGTCATGATCGCCGCAGCTGGCGCCACCGCCGCTGTCGCTGCTGCGCTTGCGTTTTCTCTTGCTGCCGCGACCTGTCGTACATTTACGGTGACGAGTGGGACTGCAGCTCGTACTGCAGCCGCTGACCGCACGTTTTCAGGCCGCCTGATGGCGCCCACGTCAGCTTCGACGTCGCTGCGGTCGGTTCGGTTCGGTCTCTGTTGCCGCTGACGGGGCCCCTCGGCAGCGGTGGTGATGCTGGGATGTGGACCGCCGCCGTCACCACCCCTGCCGCCAGGTGAGGCTCCGGCTGCGGCTCCAACGCCTTCACCGCTCCCGCTAGGACCTGCGGCAGTAGCCCCTGCTGCTGCTGCTAGTGCTGGCGGCGGCTGTGGCGGTGGCCGCATTGTCCCTCGCGAGTGAATGGCGGTGGCGGCGGTGCTGATGATGCCGCCCGCAAGGCCGTCTGATGATGCCGTACGGCATCTCGAGGCTTCGGGGGAAGACGCGGGTTGCGACGCCAGAGCTGCTGAGCACTTCCCTTTCGGCGGCGCCCCTGCCGCCGCCGCCGCCGCCGTGTGACGGCTCGGCGACTTCCGGCGGTCGTACGTCTTGCAGCAGACGAAGCGGTCGTAGCACCTGCGGTGGTAAGATCGACACACCTAGCAAGTGTCGTGTACTGATCTTTGCGTGTATATATATCCGTGATAATATGCCGGAAATGATAATCTAGATGATCGAAATGCAATGGACTCGCTGGCAATGCATACAATCAGTGTATTTTTTTCCGTAATATATTACGGTTCCGTAATAAAATGGCATATTTGCGTTTTGCGCTCCGTCATAGACCATGGTAAAGGCCTGGTACGGTCGTTACGGAGCCGGGGCGGGCCGAAGGCCCCCAGAGACGTTCTATTTTAGTATAAATAAGTTATAAATGAGCGATGGGGCCCAAGAAATTAACTACTATAGCTGATCAGGGTAGCGTCAAAGCATTCCTGACCACCGGCAGGCCAAAACCCAGTAGCGGCGATGCTGGTAACACTTCAAACAATATAGCGAGTACAAGAGAGACATTAGAACCAGATGACAGGGCGCCTCCCGTTCTGGTGATAGCAGCAGCAGCAGGAGCAGCAGCAGCAGCGGTGGCAGGGGCAACGGTGGTTCCGATGCGGGGGGCGCTTCTCGCAGGCGCAGGGCATCCCGCAAGCGCGGGAAGGGGAAGAAAGGGAAGAAGGGGAAGAAGCGGCGTCGTAAGCAGAGGGAGAGGTTCCGTCCGCCACAGCCTGCTGGCGACGGCTGATGAGCCCCGCTGGGCAGGCCATGGCCATTTCAGAGTTTGCAAAGCTGGCGGTGATTGTGTTTGTGATGGTGCCAGGGTCAGTGGAGGATGGGAGGCGGTTCTCAGCAATGTCTTTCGTCAAGAATAAGCACCGCAACCAGCTTGATAAGCATCTGGGCCTGTGCTTGCGTATGTTTGCCCAGGACTTCTACACCCGCTCGTCCTTCCCGTATGACAAGGCGGTGGAGAAGTGGCTGCAGAGGGCTGAGAAGCGTGGCCGTTACATGCACAACTGACGAGTTTGCTATGCCCTGGGGCATTGTACTGGCTGTGGTGTCGTGGTGAAAACGTATGACATAATCCTGAACGCATGTGGCAACGGATGGAAACAGCTGGGACTCTAATGAAATATTTATTAAATATGTGCTGGTGTATCAGGTACCCTGTGGGGGCAGGGGGGGGTCTTGGGGGGCTCCCCCCCCCCCAGAAATGGGGGGGTCTTGGGGGGCTCCCCCCCCCCCAGAAAAAATTCTGGCAGTAATAAACGTATTGGACTGATGGCATATTTATTACGGAACTCGTAACAGATTCAGGATCGGCCTCCACGAAAAAAAACACACTGCATACAATATAGCCATGCTAAAGCGCGGCACGGTGTCCCTCTGTGAGATTCTAGGATCGATTCCGACACAGAACAAATTAAAATCTTCGGACCGTAAGCGGGTGGATGAGGCTCCCACATGCCGGTGGTGGTTGTGATGCACTCGGCCATACCGATGGACCTGTTGCTAACCGACCGACCAGGAAGGTGGGGGAGTTGGCGCCGCCATTGATCCGGGGGCGGAGCCCACTGGATGCCGGTGCTGCTGGTGGTGATAGTGGTGGTAATGGTGGTGGCGGGTGCTGAGACCGAAAAGGTCACACTTACCGACTCCGAACACGAGTCCGAGTCCGTGGACTCATACGTGGGTGATGATGAGAGGGATGAGGGCGGGCGGTGCTTCCCCGGTGGTGGTGGGGATGAAGCTACATACGAGGATGAAGCTATTCCTCCTTCCCCCTACTTCCCACACAGACACATCGCATCCCGGAATAAGAGCAAGTGGAAAGGGATTTCCGGGGCGGTCAACCAACCAATCGATGCATCAATGGTGGTGTCCCTCACCTCCGGCACGTCCGCAGTGTGGGGTCCAACTTATGAACCCGCCAGCCGTGACTGGTGGAGGCCGACCCGCACTCGACACAGCGGACGGAACTGCCGCCGCCGCCGTCGCCGCTGCCGTCGCGGGCCGTACTGTTAGCCCATACCGGCGGCTTCCCCGCAGCGGCAGTGCAGGCCGCTGAGCCGCCGCGGCCAGAAGCAGTAGCAGCAGTAGCAGCAGTAACAGCAGTGGAAGCTGCAGCAGCAGCAGCAATAGCAGTAGCAGTAGTAGCAGGTTTCACAGTGCAATTCCGAGCGGGTGCCGTGATACCCGCGCCAGCAGCAGCATCCACGATGCGTACGGCACTCCCATGAAACCTCTTCCCCCCGGCCGGCGGCACCGCCGCCGCCGCCGCCGCTGCGGCTGCTATCGATGCCCCCAATGCCTTGGCGTCCGTACCTGGCCCCGCCGGCCACCGTGCACTGGCCTTCACTGTACCGCGCCGTACGACACGTGCTTGAGCTGTCCCGCCGCGTACCCTGGGCGCTTCCGTACGACCATCGTACGTGCGCTTGGCCAACCACCACATGTAGCAACCCTGTAGGCAAAATATATTTTAAGAGGCAGCTTGGGGGGCCAGATGGCGACAGGGCGAGCGGCAGCGCCAGCGGCACGGAATGTAAAATCCAGGTACTTGTACGGATCCAAATTGCCCACTCGTAAACCTATGCTGTATAGCGTAGCTAAACTGCGATTTAGCGAAAGGCAACAGCTGCGGGCAGGTAACCGTTTGCACACCGCTCATTCGTTCATTCCCGGCGTGCTTCCCTCTGACAAGAGAGATTAATCGCTGTTTTCCGTTATTCGCCCCCTCCGGTTGCCCATTCCACTCGGCGCACACCCGCACCGTCGCCATGACTAAGCGCAGTAGCTACATACGTATACGAGTGGCATAGCAGTGTGTGCCGTCACAGCCGTGGGGTCTCGCAGTAGCCACCGCCACCGCCGCCGCCGCCGCTACCTCGCAGTAGCAGCCGGCAGGGCAATATCCCTATTTTGAAGCGACAACGGATTCTTCTTGCCGCTGCTTGCCTTACACGTAAAGAGGTTGTCGTACAGCTTATGGCGCCGCCATTCCGAGGTCTCTGTGGCGCCGCACACACTGCAGCAGCACCTCGGGACGGCGGCGGCGGCGACAGTGGCGGCAGCCGCGGTTGATTCCCGTCCCGGCTGCTGCCGCTGCTGCTGCGGCGGCGGTGATGGCGGCGATGGCGACATTGGTTGCAACGGTGCTGGCCCCTTGCGCTTCACCGCCCTCCTTGGCCGCCGCCGACGGCCCTGTAGGGGGCCCTGCGCTGGCGGCGGTGCCGGCGGCAGCGGCGCCCGCACCGCCACTGCCGCCGCCGCTGCCGCCGCCACCGTCGCTGAAACGGACGGTGGTCCGACGCTTATCGTTGTCTCCGTCGTCGCTGTCACCGTTGTCGTCGTCTCCGTCTCCGTCGACGGCGGCAGCGGCAGCAGCAGCGGCAAGGACTCCGAGTACCTCCGTTCCTCCCACTGCTGATCATCTGTCGCAACTCGCCCCTGCTGCTCCTGGGCTTCATCCACATCCATATCAGGGCCTGCTCCCAACTCTGTATCCGCGACCGAGACCGCGTCGGCATCCTGAAAACTTGCGAAGCTGCGCTTGCGGCAGCCGGCACCTGCACCAACGGTGGTGCCGCCACCGCCGCCACCGCCGCCACCGCCGCCACCGCCGCCAGTTTAAACAGTCGCATGGTTGTTGATAGAATTCTAGTTCAAGTTTTACGCCCCCTCTGAGCGGCAGATTGATATGCCATGAATGAGCGATAGAGTGACCCGTGGGTCATAGCTTTCAAGCCTTTGGACTAGTGTGGATCGAGCGGTCAAAGCCACAACACCAACACATATGTAGTTTTCATGTAACCCCGAAGTACTCCAACATCTCCAGTTTCTGGGAGAAAAGATCGGTAAGGGTTTTCGCGCTGATCCACTTTGGATGAGAGGTTGATATACAGTTCATAATATCATGGTTACCTTTTGTCCTCTAACATGTACCAACACGGTAAGTAGCCATGCACAGCAGCGACGACAGCGTGAGTTATCAATTTGAAATTCCAGCTATGGACACCAGTTTGTGTGACCTTATAAACTTCAGGCTTACATGCTCAAGCCTGTGAGAGCACAGGCTTTCGTCCGGCTCCGACACCGCATCTCGCTTCTTACTGTTACGAAATGGACAATAAAGGCATACATGGTGATGGATGTTTGGATGGAGAGTTTATTACATACTCTTTGTGTTGAATGCGCACACGGCGTTTGCTGCATATAACCGCGGTGCTCGACGAAATGTCCGGGCATCGGATCAACGCTCAACGCCGCCGGTCACATTGCGAAGCAAATCAACTTACTTATGTCGCGCCGGACATCGTAGCTAAAGCCGGAAGGACATCACACAAAACATGCTTCTTAGCCCAGGGCACGAAGTACTGCGGCCGAGGCATGTGTTACAGCGGAATGGTATCGTACAGTATGGGTATGCAAATTTAAATGAGCATCGGGAGTGTTGTGTCCCCTCCTCTGGATCCAAAAGTAAATCAAAACACGAAGAGAAAGATTGCTTTGACGCACAGGTTTCATCCAGATACGTGTAGGGGGAAGCAAGTTAAGTAAAGCCACAGCACCGGCGAAACTGGGTAGAAAAAGGCGCAGGGGCCCCCCTGCAGCCATTCACTATCACCCGGCCTGTGTGCTAGCTGGCCGTGGGCAAGTTAGGTCTCCTGGATCCTAAACGTATTCACATCCTGCATATTCACGGACGTAGGCGCCTGCCCACACGAGGAAGCTCACCTACATATTTTGCACATCAGCACCATCGGTCGTACCGTCAAGAGGCGTCAGGCAACGAAGGGGAGAAAGTCACGCAATCCACCGCACAAAGATGTGCCGTACAGCCACGGACCACAACAGGGGCAACCCCCTTGCGCGTCAGCACACCCGGCCGGAGCCGTCACGTTTATGGCTGGGGCGGGCTGACGGCAGCAGCTACATCCCACCTCCACCTCCTCCTCCCCTCCCTCGCGCTTGCACCCTGGCACCTCCCTTGGTGCCATGCTTCCATGCTGCAAGCATGTGCCTGCCCACTGTGTCCGTGTCCGTGTCCGTGTCCGTGTCCCGCATGTCTTCCAGTCCTCCCCGGAGGTACTCCGCGACACCCGAAATGCGCCCTATCCCTCTGCTGTAAGGCTTAATTAGATCCATGCCCCTCCTGGCTTAGCACGGCAGCGATTGATCAGTGTGCCACAACCGTACCTCACAACCAGAAACTTCCGGGGGCAAGGAACTTGAGTAGCTCACATAGTTGTGCATAACACGCAAACCGAAACCTGCTCGCAAACCGTGAAGTCCAGGAGGCTCTCCCATGTGCTGCCTCTCCCCGTTCGGTCGTCCGAAGGCGGAATGAAGCTCACGACTCGGTCCACCGTCTTGCAGCTCCCTCCACAGCTCCACAGCGCGTCGCGTCTTATGATTGCCGGCGATATGACCCAAAGTACGGATCCAACCATGTCGCCAACTTGAAAGCTGCCTGAGCCTCCACCGCTGCCGCCGCCGTTACCGTCTTCGCGCCGCTGACCGCCGTCACCGCCGCCGCCACTGTCGCCACTGCCCGGGAAAGAAGTGGAGTTGTTTAGGCCCCGGGTGTCAGATGCCCGCTGAATTACATGGTGGGAAGGATAGTGATAGCGAAGAGGCACCGGTGGCGGCTGTGGCGGCGGCGACAGCTGCGGCGTCGGAATCGGGCCCTGTGGCACCGCAGCAGCCGCTGCCGCCGCCGCCGTCGCCACGTCCGCCTGGTAAGTCATGCCAGTCATAGCGGCGTCAACCGAGGACGCCAACTGGGCCTTATCCTCACTGTGCTGATCCTGCGACGGCCTCTCCTCTTGCCGCCTCTGCCGGACACGCCGCGGCTTAGCTCTCCCGCGTATGGCACGTCATGATCCTGTCTGATTACGTCGCCGTCGTACGACGGTGGTGGGGGCCGTTTGAGCGGCACGGCCGCGGGGCCATCCGCAGCGTTTATATTGGCGGCCGCGGCAGGCGGGCTGCGAGCCTGGCAACCGGCAGCATGGCCGGCGGTGGCGCCGGGCATGGCCAAGTTGAGTTGATTGCCGTCGCCGTTGGTGGCGCCAGCCGTGGCGGTGCGGCCGGCGGGTACCTGCGCTAAGCCCGCCTGTGAGGGGACCCAATCCACTGCTACAGCCAACCTGTTCGCTCGCATGGCGGTGAGATTGATGAAACTCGAGCAGGGCGCTTGGGACTGAGCTGAGGAGTGAGCTGACGGCTGCAGCAGCAGTGGCTGCGGCAGAGGCGACTTCAGTGGCTCGAGTACGAACGGGTCTCCTGGCGTCGGGACACGCAGTGCCAGCCGGCCGCTAGGCGAGGCGCCTACCCGTAACGCAAGGTGTACTGCGGCTTGCACTGCGGTACGGAGCAGCCGTGTGGCGGCTTTGCGTGTTGTATGTTCATCCATGGCTTGGAGACCACTACCATTCACGCCGTCACTGCCGTCACGGTTGCCGCTGTCGCCAGCGTCAGCACTAGTGCTGTCGACACCGCCGCCGTTGCCGCCAGCGTCAGCACCAATGCTGCTGACGATGCCGCCGTTGCCGCCAGCATCAGCACCATTGCTGCTGACGATGCCGCCGTTGCCGCCAGCGTCAGCACCAATGCTGATGATGATGCCACCGTTGCCGCCAGTGTCAGCACCAATGCTGCTGACGATGCCACCGTTGCCGCCAGCGTCAGCACCATTGCTGCTGACGATGCCGCCGTTGCCGCCAGCGTCAGCACTAGTGCTGCTGACGATGCCGCCAGCGTCAGCACCATTGCTGCTGACGATGCCGCCGTTGCCGCCAGCGTCAGCACCAATGCTGCTGACGATGCCGCCGTTGCCGCCAGCGTCAGCACCAATGCTGATGATGATGCCACCGCTGCCGCCAGCGCCAACTCCAACGCTACCAATGACACCGTTGCCGCCAGCACCAGCGCTACCGTCGCCGCCGTCCTCGGCAGTGGCTGCACTGCCGCCTCCACCACCGTTTCGGCTTACGCCATCGCCATCAGCCGCCAGCCCGTCCGAAGTTTGCATCGCGAAGTCGACGGCCACTACAGCACTTACCGCGCCGGAGCCATGGCCGCCCTCGCCGTCTGCACAGTTGGCGGCGGCCAGCACCGCCTCAGCACCGCGAGGTGCCAATGGATCAGCCGCGGGGCCAGCCCCGGGTGGCGGCCGCACGGCTACCGGCAGGAGCGGGGAAGTGGCGAGGGTGGGCGTTGGCGACGCCGTCAGAGTCATGGGCGGTGGTGAGGGCGGAGCTGGCAGGGACGAGGGAAGCGGCGATGGCGGTGGCAGCGGGGGCGGAGGTGGAGGCAGCTCTTGATGCTGCTGCGCCGGTGCCGGCGGCGGTGCCGGCGGCGGCTGCAGGGAAGGCGTTGTTAATGCTTGGATAGATTGGTTCGGGGCGGGTAGTGGCGGCGGCGGCGGCTGACCCAGGAGGTGCGCGGCCAGCCCCTCCGCCAGGTAGTCCGTCACTTGCAGGAAGCGCCGTATGGACGAGAGTGACGGCCGTGGTTCCGGAGCAGGCACAGCAGGGTTACCATCCCCACTGGCGCGGCCAAAAGACGTGGCAATCGATGTGGCAGCCGCTGTGCCGCTACTGCCATCACCATCACCAGCACCAGCACCATCACTACCGCCGCTGCCGCGCGTGTACTTATGGTCGTTGTGCTCAACCTTCGGCACCATCGGCGCCGCCGCTGCTGCTACTGCAGCCGTCGTCTCCATGGCGGCTCGCGCTACAACCACAACGTGGCTGTACAATGTACGACGGTTTCTGTCCCAATTGGCCTGTATGCAGTTGGGGAGCGGGCGCATCGATTTGCTGAAGCGTAATTGCTATCATGGCCAGACAGCGCAACAGCCGGAGTGGCGAAAGGGAAATGGAAAACGGAGGAGCAGTCGAATGGTAGCAGAAACGGATTAGGATGGATATAAAGGGAGCCCCGGTGCGGACGCCGTGCAAGGTGGATTTCCCTCTCGAACCCAAAGCCCACAACCCCCCAGCACCACCTGCTGCTGCTCGTCCAGACACTCAAAAGGCCCTATGCGGTCCATGCTCCGCTGCCGTACACCCCTGCCAAGCAACGCCTCCAGCGGGCTGCGCCAGGCGTTCTTCTGCACGTTGTACGGCGGTACAGCAGTACGGAGAAATGGTATGACGCAAGCGCACATGTCAGGGATGACAAGTGTACAGCATGCGCACCGGAACCCCCCAAAGGTATAAAAGACCATGCAAGATCCTAGAATTGCATTACAGCTTCGTTTGGATAGCTAATGTCCATCTTACCGCGATGGGTTATATAGCTGTGTGTGTGGCGTAGAACCAAAATACTGCGGCTCCACAAAAAAGCGGCCTCGCCAACACGCGGCCCTTTGCCGTCACTTTCCTCTCCTTTTTCCTTTTTCCCTGATATACCTTGGATTCTCACTACTCCCCTGGAAGAGGACCCTCCGGAGTCAGGCAGTCGGACCCCCGCCCCAGCAACAACGCAGGCACCACCAGCTGGGGGGGTGCGATCACGAAATCATCCCGCTGACTACCGCGCACTCGCACCAAGGAAAAGGCTCATGCCGGGAAAGCAACAGGGACCCGCAACATCATCACATAAACGCCCTGGAACCCCGGGGCCATTGACAGGGGCCCCACCCGGGCCTCGACCGGCCCAACAAGTTCCCATAACCGGCCTGGCCAGATCAGCCGGTCGTGGCGGCCGAGAAGGACAGTTGCGGGGGCTGGCATGGAATGTGCAAAAGGTCCGGCAGGAGGAACCTCGCGAAGAGGAATGACGTCACTACGCTGCTCACCTCCAACCAGCGTACGGCCAGGTCGCCAAGCAGTCGTGCCTGCCGTACGGGGGTATATTAGGGGGAACGGCAGCGGCAGAAACGGGCATGTAAAAAGGTATGGTTTCACGGTTGCAGGTTTTGTTAACCCTAAAACCTCTTAAAATGTATGCGCATATGTGTTGCAGCAGCCGGCGGATCGTCTGTGCATACCCAGCAAGTCTGAACGATTACGGGTTTTTACTTTTAAATATTTGCTTATTAAGGCGACGGTGATAAGGCTATAGCTGCTCGCACAGAGTAGTGATATCCCCAGGCTGACCAGTCCCTGAACTTAATTGCTTGACGCATCTTTTACCTCCCCCGGACGCTTTTCGACACGTTGCCGTTGTTACCTGGCCACCATTCCTACTACTACCAGAATATGACATGCATGGCTGAATTGCAATTCCTAGCGCAATAACTCCTCCACTTCCTACCTGCCCCTCCCTCTCCTTCTGCTTCCAAGCTCAACCCACTCACCCGCAGCAAAGGATCAGCGACACAAAGTTCCTCGTAAGCCACCCGTAGAGGTAAGCGTAACCGCATCGGCGACGGCGACGGCGGCAGTTGCGTACGGGATCCTTCGCCGCCGCCATCGTGGCCACCACCATTGGCGGCGAGGTCCCAGTGCCCAGTTGGCGGCGGCGGCGACGGCAGCGATGCGCCGTTGCCCGACTCCAGCGGTCGAATGCCGTCCTTGTCCTCCATCTCCACAAGTGCCTGGCAGTGCATCAGGAATCCGACCGATGCAGCATGGCGCCGTTCAGATCGTCACGTGCCGTACATATCAGCATGAAGGTCAAACACAGAAAGAAAGTGTAACATGGCAAGGACAGGAAAAGTCAAAGAGGCACGGTCCCTAGCGTCCCGAAAATGGACACTAAATTCCGCAAAAAGCAGGAAAAGGCACTAAAGGCGGTTGGTAATGATATTCATGCTGAAGAGGGATTCGATCATGAACAGAGCATGTTGGAGGCTATGAAATGGGAACCAGTACGTCTGGCGAGGATGTTGGAACGTATGTGGGCTCACCGAAACTCAGTTGTCCCATTTGGACGCAAATCTGACCTGATGTGCGGTGTTTCCTGTTCTCCGTGGCTTTTAGGCGTATAGATATTGCCCTTGGGCCTTCGGCTCGTATGGGTATGGGTATGGGGTCACGCACCCCCAACCATGTAACACACACTAAGGCGGTTGCGTGGCCGACGGGCGAACGGAAACATCCCCCTCGTATAAAGACATCTGGAATGGACCAGCTGTGTTCCAGATTGGATCGGAACATCGTGTGCAGGGCCCTTTGTCGTGTGTTGGAGTGCAGGACTGCTGTGTGTTGCAGAGACTCGTCATCCCCTGCCTTCAAAGCTGCACAAAACGGACATGGAAAAAGCACCTCGCTCAGGGAACTCCGCACTCCGCAAACCATACCGTGTGTTTTGGCAGTACTCCGGACTTCCCCCCGGACCAACCCTCTGACATAGCCGCGGATCACCAGCAGCATGCGATGGATGCAGCTCACCGTTTGCACCCTCGCCTATTCCCCACCGTGCTTTCCCCACCTCCAAAGCTACAGCGGCCCCCGCCACCGCCGTCACAAGAGAGCCGTAGCGGTAGCCATACACCTACCTCGCAAGCTTTGCCCAGCAGGTCCCCGAACTCCAGGGTGAGCTGCTCGAGCTGCGCAGTGTCGCCCACCACCGGGGGAGACAGGGGATTGCGTGGAGGCGATAGTGGGCAGCAGCTGGGGGCGACGGGGTAGGAGGAGCCGCCAGGGCCGGCCACGGCCGCAGCCGCCGCCGCCGGGGCCAGCAGCTAGGAGGCCTGGTGGCGGTGGAGGTGGAGGAGGACGAGGAGGCAGCGCCGCCAATGCTAATGGTGTGCCATCCCGGCCGGTGCCCAAGTTACTGGCGAGGTCCTGGGGGTTCTGCTGCAGCTGATGGTTATGGTGTTGCATGGGTTGGCGGTGGTACTGGTATTGCGCTGGGTGCTGGTGATGCTGGGGTTGGTGCAGTGGTGGCTGGTACGGCAGCCTTGGGACCAGCTGGCTGGGATGTGGTATGAACTGCTGTTGCTGCTGTTGCTGCTGCGCCTGCTGCAGCTGCGGAGGCTGCATCGGCGGATGCGGTGGTATCGGTGGCGGATGCGGCAGGGAACCCGCGTACGGCGTTTGGTACAGCTGCATGTTCTGCTGCGGCGGCGGCGTTTGGTACGGCTGCGTTTGCAGAGGTGGTGGTAGCGGGTACGGCTGCATGTTCTGCGGCGGCGGCGGCAAAAAATAGAAGATTACCGTTTCTGGCCCACCCCCGATTCCCCCCTCACCCCTCCCTCATTCAATCGATACTTTCTGAGTAAAAACTGCTCCGATTGGTGTAATCGATGATTTGACGATTGGACACGCATGCACTCCGACGATTAGCGCGGGAAGTTTAGTCGTTGAGTTCAGTCGTGTTTCCACCGATTACTTGTGAAGGTGTAGATAAACACCGAATGCTGCAAGCCTTAATCGATTCATTCACGAATGCTGAAAGCTGTAATCGACGAACGTGCAAGACCCGAGTGACTCCTTATCGAATGCATCAAGAATACTATTTGAGTCATACTCAACATGTATGAATCAATTCGGCAGCAATTTGCGTGGGCGCCGAGGACGCAACATCCCAAGTCTCCAGGTGGCGAAGCTTGGGCTAGCAGCCAGTGGAAATCTTCAATTAAGCATTGCATCGCACGGACTTGGTGTTAGGTCGCACAGCGGTCTCTGGGTACGCAAGCGTGCAAGTTGTCAAAGAACACAGCCGCTTTGATTGCTAGAAGAGCTCGTGATAATTTATGCGAATTTAAATGTGTTATAAGCTAATCAACGAGAGATCGCTAAGCAACGATGAGACGATAGGGTCGCGCCCCCATCGCACCGGCGCTAGCGCATGAAGGCCCTCGCCCGGGCACTCCTGGCAAGGTGTGCCCGTTTGCAAGTTTGTGCATATCTTTATTATAAACATAGCGTCCAATGATGCGTGTTAGGTTTTCTCGTTAGTTGTTTAGTTGTTAAGTCGTTAACTTTACTCGTGGACGATCATTTGGGATATGGATAATGTACGACCTTCCGGCGCCGCCTAGGCTCTGGATGACTATTTAAGTCGTGTGTTGTTTAGATTGTTATGTCATCATTATTACATCTTGTGCTGGATTAGCAGGTTTACGTCGCTCCGCCCTCGTTGTAGCATTTGTGACATCCCAACGAGAAACGGAGCCCATGCCCTATCAGTTGGTATCTATCTAAACGATCCGGCCTATACGCATCGCTCCGCCATCGTCTTCGCCGCAGCCACAGCCCTGCCTGTAATGTTGCGTCACATCGCTGCTCTGTGCTCGCTCAAGTGCCCGAGAACGAGGCGCGTGACTTTAGTCTCACACATATCAGCATATCATTACGTATTACGCGCGCTAGACGAGCACTGCGGCATCGGCTGCCGAGACAACCTCGAACTATATCTGCCGTGTCGGGCTCAGATGCAACTAGCAACGCTTCTCTGAATTTGGCCGCTGGTCAGCAGCTGCTGCATGCTCTACAAGAGGCGCAGGGGTGAGTGAACAGCCAGACGCAGACTATCGTGCAGCAGGCGCAGACTATCGCGCAGCAGGTGCAGACTATCGTGCAGCTGCAAGCTGCGGAGCAGCAGCAGGTGCAGACTATCCTGCAGCTGCAACGGGATATCGACGTGCTGCAAGTTGCGCAGCAGGCACCATGACGGTGAGGCCTCCTGCGGTATGTTAGGGACAAGGACAGGCTATCGTGCAGCAGCTGCATGCCTGACGGGCCCCTCCTCCAGAGGCAAACAGGAGGTGTGAAGATCAAAACCATTCACCTTATGCATCTATCAAAACCATTCACCTTATGCATCTTTCAAAACCATGCACCTTACACATCTGTCAAACCATGCACCTTACACATCTATCAAAACCATGCACTGCAGTGCGCCCACAACAGGAGAACACTGCTGATAGTCTGCACCTGCTGCTGCTCCGCGGCTTGCAGCTGCATGATAGTCTGCGCCTGCTGCACGATAGTCTGCGCCTGCTGCGTGATAGTCTGCACCTGCTGCATGATAGACTGCGCCTGCTGCACGATAGTCTGCACCTGCTGCATGATAGTCTGCATCTGGCTGTTCACTCACCCCTGCACCTCTTGTAGGGCATGCAGCAGCTGCTGACCAGCAGCCAAATTCAGAGAAGTGTTGCTAGTTGCATCTGAGCCCGACATGGCAGACAGAGTTCGAGGTCGTCTTGGCAGCCGTGTAATATGTGTCATATGTTGATATGTGTGAGACTAAAGTCACGTGCCTCGTTCTCACTCAAGTGCCTGAGAACGAGGTGTAGTCTCACACATATCAGCATATCAACACATATTACACGGCTGCCAAGATGACCTTGAACTATGTCTGCTGTGTCGGGCTCAGATGCAACTAGCAATGCTTGTCTGAATTCAGCTGCTGGTCAGCAGCTGCTGCATGCCCTACAAGAGACGCAGGGGTGAGTGAAGGTGCAGACTATCACACAGCAGGTGCAGGCTATCGTGCAGCAGGCGCAGACTATCGTGCAGCAGGTGCAGACTATCGTGCAGCAGGTGCAGACTATTGTGCAGCAGGCGCAGACTATCGTGCAGCAGATGCAGACTATCGCACAGCAGGTGCAGACTATCGTGCAGCTGCAACAGGATATCGAGGCGCTGCAAGTTGCACAGCAGGCACCATGACGGTGAGGCCTCCTGTGGTATGTTAGGGACAAGGACGGGCTTGCATAGGAGTGTGCACATGTTGCCAAAGGTGCCTGCCTGAAGTCGCTGCACTGACTAATGCACACTGCACCGGCCAACGCCTGCTTTTGCTCAACCGCAGGCTCTTCTTATGCTGCTGATCAGGCGGGGCTGGCTCGCACAGCTGATGGTGCTAATTAAGCCACAGTCATTATGGCAGTCACACATGGCGGTGTTCTCCTGTCGTGGGCATGCTGTGGTGCATGGTTTTGATAGATGCGTAAGATGCATGGTTTGATAGTTGTGTAAGTTGCATGGTTTTGATAGATGTGTAAGGTGCATGCTTTTGATCTTTGCACCTCCTGTTTGCCTCTGGAGGAGGGGCCCATCAGGCATGCAGCTGCTGCACGGCCAAGGATGCCATGATCGCACGTGTGGGTTACAGTTGGGCCGTTCTTCAAAGCTAGACAAAGTCAGGCATGCAGCACTGAGTGCTGATGGAGGAACTAGTGGAAGCAGTTGTGGCCAACACGCGGGTGGGTAGGCAGCCTCAGCATCATTACTGAGATGGGCTGGGGCCCTACTTGTTTTGTGGGTGATTGAGACTTTTGCATATGTATTACAGTTACAGTTACAGTGTCCCATGAATCATGGGGTGTATTCCCTACTGGAAGGAGCTTGTAATGCGCACGACCCTCAGGGTGCAAAAGGCATACACATGTACAGATTATTTTCCTGAAGGTGCCCAAGAATCGGGGAAAGCTCCCTGCCCAACGTTGGTGTGAGGACCAGATGCTGGGTTAGTGAAGCATGGCAACCACTTGCTGGCCTCGATATGTGTTGAAGTGTGTGAAAGGCTGTCAAGGGAGAGTGCTGCTGACAAAGTAGGGTGCGGAAGTGTATGGGCTGCAGGTTGAATTGAGATGCGGAAGCCTATGAGCTGCAGGTAGGATCAAGATGTGAAAGCATCAGCTGAAGGTAGAATCGTGATGCAGAAGCGTCAGCTGGAGAGCTGTAATGGGAGAGTCTGGGCACGGGATCCACCTGAGTGTGTCAACCAGGGACATGAACCACATGGTTCCTAGCCTGCAGGGAGCACAGGGGAGGAGAGGGGCTCGGGGTGAGCAGGGCTGGAGCCTGTGCATGGGTAAGGGGAAAGGGGCCTCACACTGCTGCTGATGGTCTCAGGTGCTTGGAGGTTAGCGTGCTCGGTGCAGTGGGACACGGAGGGACAGGTCAAGTTGGGACAAGTCAAGCATGTGTTACAGAACACCCTATCAGAGGGCTTGGGGCTATTGCCCATAAACCAGAGTTGAGGGGGGAGATCTCAGGGCTTACAGCCGAAGTGTGGTCTTATGGCCTGGTCTCAGTACACAGGTCTTGCCTGGTCTCTCGAACCTAGTGTGGCCTCCACCTTAGATAACCCTGGAGGCTCGTCCTACCCATATGGCCCCATTCCTCCCCATGCAGGCTTACAACCCATTCCCATCACATGTGCTTGTCCTGCAAAGGGGCTGGACGAGACAGTGCCAATCCCAGTGCCTGGCATGGCAGTGCTCTTATCTTCCATCTACGTGTAGAAATTGAGATTGCATTGGTTACATGAGGGATCGAATTTAAAAAATTCGCCCCCAGATGGGCAAAAAATGTAGAAGCTATCGTGTCTCCGTGGGGTATGTGTCTTCGGATGTGTCTATGATGTATAGACACTTTTTCACCTTTTGGGCCCCAAATTACAGGGGGTTTGGGGGGGCTTGCCCCCCATGGAAGTTTTTTCTGAGGGGGTGTCTATCTACGCAGCGTAGGCACCAGGGGCCTGCAGGCATCTACATGATACTGGCATTGTGGCATGGAACACCGTGCCCAGCCAAAAAGTGACAACCCACGTGACCATCTCACATGGCCATCTCACATGGTGTGTGTGGCCCATCTTGTGTGGAGACATGGGCGGCTGCTACATGGTCATGGACATCACCTCCAAGGAGAACCTCCCAGACTATGTCGCTGACAATCGCCTCCCGGCGTGGCTCCTCCCGACACAGATGGCCAACCCCCGGGCCGACACCTCAACTACTGCCCGGATATCCTACTCATCCTGTCCATCATGCTAGCCGCCACCCATGCCCCCGACTTCAACATCATCCCCGGCCAGCACCACACCATCAAAGTAGGCTACTCTGCTGACACAAACCACACCGCAAAACAACATGAGAAAGCTGAACAACATGCACACCTCAAGGCCGCCCTGGAAGAGGCGGGCTGGAAAGTACAGTACACTGCCCAAAACACCATTAGCCTGGGCTTTGCCGGCACAATCCGCAAAGACTTCCACCCCCTACTCACCTCCCTCGGAGCCACCACACATGCTGCACGACAATGCTGCGACGCCCTGCACGACCACGCGGTCTCCTCACTCAATAACATTGTCCTCACACGACGACACCTTGAGTGGGGCCAGCCACCAGGCAACCCCGGTGGTGGCTGGCCCGGTGGGGTGTAACCAGAGTGTGTGGGAGGCGGGCATGGCCCACCCCCTCGCCCCACCCCTTCTGGTACTGGGGGTGTACAGGCTACAGGCCTGGCCCGTTTCCTCATCCCTCCCCACTCCCTTAACACATACCACTTGCCTCTACCAGGGTATGACTATTTCTATTTCTGGCGTGTGTGGCACAACACCCGGCCACTCTCTAATATTTGCAAATGCAGGCTTTCACAAGCACACACAAATCACCCATGCATTATGATGCAATGCTTGTTTGCTTGTCTCTTGTCCATGCACGCAATGGTCCACGGACTTGGTCGTGACTGGCTAAACACACATGCACCGACATGCTTACTCGTCATGACACCCCCGACCACCCCCAATATCAAATGCGTCATCACCCTCAGCGTGTGGCCCTCAGCTATGCTCACCACAAGCTCCTTAGTGCAGTCTGTGAATTTGTGCCCAGCACCGTAGTGCAAACCAGGTAGCGGGCTGTTTCCTTATTCCCTAGGACCTTCAACCGTGCACCACCCAGTATGAAACCACACGTGGCCCACTCTTTGCGCTGTGCCGGGGTTGTACTGAAGTACAGTACCTTGCACTAAGCTGCATTCACTTGCATGCCAGTATGTAGCCTCGCAAAACTCTTTCAGGTATGTGAGCAACATCAGTGCTCTGTCCCGTGAGCAAGCTAGCAGCATTGCGTTGTCCACAAATAGGTGGTTGGTGACCTTTTCCCAGCTGTTCCAAAGCTGACCCCCTTGTCCACAGAAGAGCCAGAAGGGGGCGTCTACCCATTGATAGACACTGGGGGCCCAAGGGCATCTACATGATACGAGCACTGGTGGACATCCTCGCTTGACACCCCATCTGACACTGAAGGGCACACCTAGCTTTCCACCCAGCTTGACCCACATGTATGGCTGTGTGCAAGTTTATTGGCACCCCCTGGGTTGTGACATGCGACGTTGCAACATGCTACATGGCAACATACAACAACATATGGTTGAAGAGCACCGTCAGACCTGGTGCCATAAGGTGGAGGGGTGGCGACTGTGGGGGATTGCCGCCATGCATCCTGCTGTCCCTCAGTAAAACCACAGAATCACAGATGCAATTTAGCAGTGTGTGTGCTTCAGACCGCATTGGCCATTGCTCCCCGGGTTGGGCTCCAAAGATGCGTTGAAAATTCGCAGACCACTTGTCAATATCAGTGATCCCAACCTCAGTGCCACTACGACCCTTGAGCCAGGACCACAGGGCTCGCGGGTCAGTGTCGTTCATGCTGATAACATGGGCTAATTCCTTCAGAGGCGCTTGCTCACGTGCAGCCTGTTTAGCATTCTCAAACGTGCATTTAAGGGTCCGCAGGTGGCTTTTCTCCTCAACACTAAGTTGCTGACACGCCGCACCATGCTGTAAGGTAGGCCAACAGCACAACGGCACACTGCTCATTCCACCAGGGTGTACCCCCAACATGTGTAACAGCAGCAGCCTGCTTAGTGGCATCTTTGCAGACTTTTTCCATCGTACTGATGCACACATCAACACCGTGTTGCGTGGTAGCCCCATGCGTGATGGTTGCCGGTAAATCAATCAACTGCGTGTGGTTACAAGGTGGTGCGCACGATTTGTGCCTTCCTGCCTCATACCTGTGGCCCAGGCCGGGGTGACCATCATAACGCCTTATGATATGGTTCGTCCGCTCTAATGTTCCGCCCCTGCAAGGGGCGTGTGCCTGCTCCTGTGCTCCCAAATAGAGTCTAACAACGCGGCCAGCCTGTCAGGCTCTGATTCCTGCATCACGTCACACATGGCCTTACTAAAATATATGCTGCTACCCGCCCGTAACTCGGCGTAGGCCGTGCATTGCATCAAAATATGGTGCTCATCTTCTACTTCGTTGGCCGTACACAGAGGGCAGGTTCTTGCTTCTCGGGGCCGTTCCCAAGCACGATTCACAGTAACTGGCCAACAGCATAGTGTAAAATGCATCAACAGCTTTGTTGCGCCACAGGTACAAATGCTCTGCTATGATTGTGCATGGTACACGCCCATACCCGATGGACCAACCCAATCCACCTTCAGGGAGCGACTCATGAAGGCGTGGGAGCACGAGAGGCTGTCAACGAAACCGCATGCATTCCCCTCGGACGGCAAGCAACCCGGCATTCATATGTGCAAGCACAAGCACTGGTTTAAGTGGAACGGGTGCGGCACCGTTGACCATGCACAAATCATTCAAAAACGCAATGTGCTGGCCCCCGGGGTCAGCAAACAGGGCTTGGAAACGCTTCTTGCCGCCATTATCAAACAAATTTATGAGAGGCGCCTTGTCCTGCTGCGGGGATGGGGATTGTCAAAGTCACCGGACAATGGTCACTGAACTTGGACTGTCATGTACCCCATGCATTGTTGCGCATCACACTCAGGTGCGGGCTAGTAACAAGCAGGGTTTGCGACCCAGTGAATAGGTCGACCGTGCTGCCCCTGCTAGCAGTGAACGTGTGGCCAGCTGGGATGTCCCCATCCACTCTCCCATTGAAAATGCTTAAGTCATGCTGACAACACATGCACAGGACCCTCTTGCCGACAATATCAATTGTTTGGTCCAGCGCCCTGAGCTCAGAGGCTGGTGTAATGCAATGCTCTTTATCAAAAGGCGAGAACGGTGCTTGATATGCGTAATCAGTCTCCTTAGCCGCACCTACACGTGCAGTAAAATCTCCCACAGAAACAGAATCTCTCTCCATCCCTCCGCAATGCATAGATTGCGTCACCCAGCGGTCCAGCAATGCTGTCGGCCAGGTTGTGTCCGCCAGTTTTAAGTCTTCATCCACTTCAGACGTGGACGGTGCAAGATAGCATCAACCCAGCAAGAGACCCTTGCCACCCGCGAGGCATTTCCCACACGCCGCCAAAGGCCTGGACAGGTTGCATGGAAGGACTTTATTTTCAGTAGCAATTATAATGTCGTAATCAGCAGGACATATAACTCCTTGCGCAATTAATTCCAGGCGATTGCCGTAGGCGATGGGAGCATTCCATGTTAGAATGCGTAGTGTAGCACCCCCATGGCTATCCTAACACTTGCCATTGCACCCCTTGCTTGGCGCACCCTTCCACCCCTCCCATCTCTTTTTGCATCGCCTCGATGTCAACTGGCTGCCAGTTGCTGGATGGGGGGTCCTGTGCTCTTAGTACGGTGCCACACCACGTGGGTTGGACCAGGTTCCCTATGGCACGGAAACGATAGTTACGATCTCCATGACCATGTAATGACAATCGTTACCCCGGGGACGTCGTTACATCCGGGTAACGATCGTGCTCAACTCTGACTACTGCACATGGTTACCCCCTCTTCACCTCACCGGGCCGCCAGGGTAACGACAGTCAGCACCTCGTGATGACTTACATTAGGGGCCCCTAACCCCGTCTTATGTCACATGTGGCAGTGGCCCACGACCAGTCCAGTGGTGGCACAAATGGCCTTGTAGCGCAAAATGGCGCAAATGGCAAAATTCATAAATGGCAACAACAAAATGGCTGATATGCGATGCATGCTAGGAGCCATCGAGACAAGCCAGAATTCCAACCTGCAACCCGCACCCACACACAGAGTACCTACAAACAGGAGGACAAATTAGAGAGCCAACACTTCTCCCACCAAACGCCTTCTCCTTCTGGGTCTCAGGCTACCGCACATGACCGCCACAAGCAGCCCGGGGTCGTTAGACCCCATTCTTGCTCGCCAGGTAGGCCATGACGGCGGCTTGTTTGCACTGGTATGCCGCACCGTCTGCGTGACTGCCAGTTGGATGTGTACGCCAGCTGGGAACACGGGCTCCTCGGCGCTGGCCAACTTGTAGCGATTGGTGTTGATGAGGTGCCAGGCAGTGGAGTACTGGAAAGGAATGCCTGCTGTGCTAAGGCAGCAACGCGCTAGGGACCAAGTGCAGTGGTTACTGTCAAGGCTGTTGCCTGAGGCAATGGGTTGCCCATCAGTTTAATTGGGGGCTTCCTGGTGGGGAGGCGGAGCTTGGGGGTGCTTTTTGAAACCATCTGCTGTCAGCATGGGCACATGAGCGGTTGCAGACGCCCCCGGAGGGCTTTTCATCTCATGGTTTACAACCTTGTCTGGATAAGACTAAATACAAGCACTGGAAGGGGTGTGGCAAGCAGAGAAATGCATGCCCATCCTTAGAACCATGCCAATAACTCTGAAATTCCACTAAGTTTTTCTGACGTTACTATAAATATCTATAATGTCTGAAGCCACTGAAATGTCTGAGCCTGAAGCCCAAACCGTTGCCATGCCCAAAAAACAATTGACAGCAGAGAAAATTGCCCAGCTGCAGAAGGCACAAGAGAAGGCGCTAGAGAAACGTCGGCTATTAAGAGAGCTCTCCAAGAAAGAGAAAGAAACGAAGGAAGAAGTGCTAAAATAACGCCTGGAGAAGGTGAGAGAATTCGAGCATAAGGCCAAGGAGAGCGTACCAGTCGAGATCCGTAAGTGGCTAAGGACGACCATATGTCCAGGGGCAACAAGCTAGGCATAGTGGACGTGGCAACCAAGACCATCAAACGATACATACGCTATTACATGCTAGCCAACAACACCACACGATTTATAGACCAGGAGCGAATTACAACTCTACACCCCATTCCTCACTCAAAAACATGACCCCCAACGAAGTATACGGCGACCTAGACACAGAGAGAGAGAGAGGTGTACGAGGAGCTAACCCAGCAAAATGATAAACTAGAGTCACTGGTGGATATAGGGATAGGGGGTTACGTTAGGCGGCGAATTGACAGGGGTAGATTCGAAGATGCTAAATGTTTGAGGGGAGTTTGTGCTGGTGGATGCTGACGGCTCCACCCTGCCATGGCGCTATAAATGAGCTAAGCAAGATTGATCCCAGAGATATGGAGGGTAGTTTAGAGGGCAGCAAGAAGCGGGAGGCGGAGGGAAAGCACAAAACGGTGGTGAGGGTGGGTAAGAGGTATGGGGATGCTGAGGCAAAGATAGAGGAAGCAGAGGGCAAGGAGGCTCCCAAAGCCAAGCCCAAGAAGGGGAAGCGAAGCAGGAAGGCCAAGAAGGAGGCGATAGACGGCGAGGAGCACGTGGAGGTAAGCAGGTTCGAAGGCAGCAGGTTTAACAAGGCAGGCAAGCAGGAGTACCAAGTCAGATTCTAAGGGGACAAGACATTGTACTGGATTCCTGCCAAGCAGCTTGCCGAAGACCTTAGCCCCGACGCTTTCAGCGAGCTTAAGAGGGGTCGCAAGAAGCGGGGATGATTGGGGGGAGCAGGACGGCATGTTTGGAAGACGGGTGACCGTTGGGGTGCGAGGGATCTCAGTTCGGCTCAGTTCCCGTGAGTTCGTGTGGGGCCGAAACTGAGCGGAACTGAGTGGAACTCAGGTACCGTTTTCTTTGCTGTATTATTTTTTACGCTGTTCCTTTTGTTAGGAGCGATTGTTATTGAGGTTATCGCGCGAGCTGGCGAGAAAGTTTGAGTTGTCTGTCGCGCTGAACTTTGTTAGTGTGTAATATTATTCCCATGCTTACATGGTTTGCTATTTGAAGAGCTCCACTGGCCGCTAGCCCGAGCGTCCCAGTCGTAGCCTGTGCTACGACCCCCGCCCATACTTCTGCAAGTATGGACTTCCGCCTGAGGCGGCGTTTACTTGTAGGCATCCATGACAGCGTCCCGCTCGCCGGCTGACCCAGAGGTCGGAGCCATAAAGATCTGACAGAAAGGCGGCAAAATAGGCAGTTGGAATTCAGTTAGTTCCAGCGAACTTGTCCATCAACCGCGCCAAGCGAGAAAGGAAAAATGAACCAGAAAAATGTATCAGTTTGGGCCCAGATTTAAGAAGCGGAATACAACACCAAGCCTGCTCAAGGCGCAGGCTGCATGGGCGGAACTGTGCCGCAGCGTGTGCAAAGGTTGGCTGTTTGAGGGCCTTGGTAGCCACCGCGCTCTCTTTCCTCTTGACAAAAAGGGGGTGCACGCCCGTGGTCGGGAAGGAGATAATAGTGGCCCCTCATGCCCCTCTTCCCCGACAAGGGGGAGAGTGCCTCGGCGGTCTTTCCTGTTGGGTTACGGTTAGGTGCCCCTGGGCAGCATCAGGCACGGATTGATATGTAACTAGTACATGTATACTATTAGGCACTACTGGTAAGGCACGACCATTGCCCCCGAGAGATCCCGGGATCGAGACCTCTCAGTATCGGAACTCCTTCCAAGAATGGAAGGTGAAGTACCCCAAGTTGATGGACTGATGTGACCAGGGATAAGATCATTCTGCGTGCCGAGCAGGAATGGAGTCAGGCCATTGGCGATCCGGCAGATTCCGTGGGATGCTGGTGGTGGGTGTGGAGCCTGAACTATTCACTGAGAAGATGACTAGGGTGACTGGATGAGGGTGCCCCGAAATACCAGGGAAGGCAGGGTTTCGCAGGGTAGCTCCCACGGGTGAAGATATACCCTCCTGTTCCATACACCACACATCGCATCTACACATTGCTCCCTAGTCATGGCTCCGGGCAAGCTCCTTCACCCATGCATCCCCAATGTTGGCCTATCTTGCCCTCCGTGACCTGACCTGAGATCTCTCGGACTTATGGGTTGTATTCATAACGCTTACACAAGTGGCTCACTGACCCATGGGTCTCAACCCTGCTTTCCGGTCCACCGACAAGCCACACCCTCCCCAGGCGCCCCCCACAAGCCGATTGTCAAATAACGAATCGAGACTCCACACACAGTGGGGCATTCAAATCACGAATTGGCGAGATTGGGGAGATTTGTCCTCGTCCTCCTCTAACCTACAGCGAACAAAGGGATTCCCATTCCACCTCCCACATATCCCATATCCCCTCATTCTTCCCTCGAAAACACACCGGGAGCCCTTGCAAACGAGCTTTGCGGATGTGCGTTTTTTCTTAAAACCACTGAGACCAAAACGCCTGCAGCGGCATCTGGATTAAAGGCCGTAGCAGTACGGGTAGCCATTATAACACGGACAGACAGATAGACAAAGTGTCTGCCCGCCTTGCTTACTTAGCACGTGCACCTGCAAGCACTCCGCCGTTTGAGTCGCTGTCACGATCACCGCCAGAGCCGCCCCTCAGATCAGTGGGGCCATCGCCAAACAAATCCATAGAGGGCCTGATGCCACCTTCAGCAGGGCATGCATCCACACCCCCGTAAACTCCCCCTGAAAGCCCATGACCGCAACTGGTCCCACAACATCCCGGAGCGGACACAAGCGGAAAAAAGACAAAAACAGAGAACTAACAGGTCTCGGCTAACAGAGCGTGTAAGGGACGGCGTTGTATACCTAGGGAGGAGCGAGTATGCCCCTGCTGCGGCAATGATAGCCATATTGAAGATGAGAAGCACGTTTTGCTGGACCGTCCGGTGTACGAAAAAAATAATCTGATATGGATTTTCCACGCGTCGAGAATATGAAGGACGCTATGAAGTGGGAACCTGAACGCTTGGCAAGGATGCTGGAACGTATGTGGCCCCACCGCAACTCTATCGTTCCCTTTGGTCGTTAGTCTCAATTATCACTTGATTTGTCTGACGTGCGAGGTAGGTCGGTGCTTCTAGGCGATCTGGCAGCCCTTGAGCCCTCGGCTCCTATTAGGGCGGTTTGCAATTACGGGGAACGCACCCACAACACACGACACACACACACACACACACACACACCTTAGATGCTGCAATATTGTAAGTATTGACTCTGTAGTGTAGATCTTATGCTACGGTCACTGTGCTTAATACTGGATCGTGCCAGCGCGTCATCTAAAGCACCAGGTCTCCCGATCTCACAGCCATAGAGAGGAGCAGATGGAAAGAACTTGAGCTTCAAAGTATCTCATTCCACAGGTCGCCGGCCCACAACTTACGGCTTGTCTAGCTCGGCTAATATAACCTGTGCATGCATGTATGGTATGATGTGTTGGACAGGCAAGCATCTCTTCACCCGTGGCCTCTACCCGGCGAAACCCTGCCTTCCCCGATATTTCGGGGCATCCTCATCTAGTCACCCTAGTCAACTTCTCAGTGAATCGTTTGGGTTCCGCACCCACCACCAGCATCCAATAAAATCTACCACCAAAATAAAATCTACCACCAAAATAAGGTCCGCAACATTACCACCAAACACAGCACCTGCTGAGCACAACATCCGTCAATGCCAGAAATCATTGAAATTACGGAAAAGGCAGCATTCCTCTGACCCCGGGGGTAGTCGGGTGATGACTGGGCCCTCTAGATCTGGGTGATCGCATGCACTGCCAGATGCCACAGGTACCAGGCGCTGATGGTGGTGTACCAATAGCAGCCTTGACAAGAGAAGACAGTATAACATACAGCGTGGTGTGACAGGTGTTGATGATAGTGAGGTTTTATACTATTCGAGGCGATGGTGGCTTGGGTGGTAATAATGGTGGTAGAGGCGCTCTTGCATTACTGGGAGGTGGTATTGGGCGAGGTGAGTAGGGTAGCAGTCGAGGAGGTGTAGGTGGCGATGAGGGCCAGGCTGCTCTTGCGGACATCGGTGGAGACCTGCTTGGCATCGGCTGTAGCTGAGGGGGTCTGGGCCGTGGTGGAGAGGGTGGAGAAGGTGGCAGTGTTTGGTGGGCGCGGTGTAGGTGGAGGGAAAGAAAGTCTTGGAGGCGGTCTTAGAGGCAAGGGTAGAAAGCGTGATGAACGTCGAGGGTTGAGAGGCGGCTGTATATATACGGAAATCGGCCAGAGGGGCGACGGGGAAGGCCATGGACGCCTGTTGGAGTGCGAGGGTGAGGATGTACTAGTTGATGGTGGAGGAAGCCCATCTGGTGGTGGCCGGGGCGACCCGGGGCCTGGGGGATGGACGGGGTGGTCTGGGAGATGGTGGAGACGGCGGAGACGGCGGTGTTGGAGGAGGAGTGGGTGATGAACGAGGAGGTCTGGGTGGAGAGGGAGGTCTGGGTGAGGGTGGAGGTGGAGGTGGTGATGGTGGTGATGGATGGTTCAATAGGGTCCGAGGGGGCTTGGATGGAGGTTGTAAATGCCGAGGAGGATATTGTCCCGGCATGACCGGGGATGAGAAAGTAACGGCAATCGGAGGGGGGAGCTGCGGTGGTGTTGAAGCGGCGCGGC